AACTCAACATCCTCAAAGAATGTTGCTGTTCCCGTCTCAAAAATGTTCCTTATAGTGGGATCATAAAACTTAAAGCCCCTAGAGCGTTCAGAGTATCCAATAAAGTAGCTGCTAACTGTTTTGGAGTCCAATTTCTTTTCATTTGGCCTATAAGGCCTTGCCTCAGCTGGACATCCCCAAATATGTAAATGCTTTAAACTGGGCTTTCGACCAGTCCAAAGCTCATAAGGTGTTTTAGCAACTGCTTTACTTGGTACTCTATTCAGAATGTAAGCTGCTGTCTTAAGTGCTTCTCCCCAGAGTGACTCTGGTAAAGAAGAATGAGCAATCATACTTCTTACCATATCCTTAAGAGTCCTGTTTCGTCTTTCAGCTACACCATTCATGCTAGGTGAACCCGGCATGGTGTACTGTGGGACGATACCGTATTCCTCTAGGTATCTAGCAAATGGTCCTGGACGTTGTTCACCTGAACCATCATATCTACCGTAGTACTCACCACCACGATCAGATCTGACGGTTTTAATTCTTCTGTTGAGTTGATTCTCAACTTCAGCTTTATAGGCTTTGAACATGTCCAGAGACTCAGATTTTTCATGAATAAGATATAGGTGCCCATAACGTGAGTAATCGTCTATGAATGATATAAAATATTGTTGACCATTCCAGGATTCCGTAGGGAATGGCCCACAAATATCCGTATGTATCAATTCTAAGACATCCGAAGATCTGTTGGCACCTAATCTTTTCACTTTGGTCTGTTTTCCCTTGATACATTCAACACATACGTCGAAGTCCGAAAAATCAAGGGAATCCAAAATGCCATCAGACACAAGACGCTCAATTCTACCTTTTGAGATATGACCTAAGCGCTTATGCCATAATGTCGCCGAATTTTCCTTATTTAATTTACGCTTAGTACCACGTGATTCCACATGCAAGGATTCATTGTAAGAAGCAATTGTATCAAGCAAATATAGGTTGTCATAAATACTCAAGTAACCGGTTCCCACAACATTTGAATTAAAAGATAAACTGAATTGACTGTTTCCAAATGAACAAGAATAACCTGATTTGTCCAATACAGAAACAGAAACCAAATTCCGTCTAAAAGACGGTACTACAAAAGTATCTTTTAAATCCAAATAATAACCAGTTCCTAACAACAACCTAAAGTGCCCAATTGCTTCCACATCTACCGATTGTCCGTCGCCCACAAAGATGTGTCTTTCAACATCACTTGGCTTTCGGTAGCTCAGGCAACCCTGCATAGAAACACTTATGTGAGTAGTAGCACCAGAGTCTAACCACCAAGTGTTTCTAGGTACTGAAGCTAAATTAACCTCAGAACAGACCAAAGCAAGGAACGTACCCTTATTATCACGCCAGGCGTGATATTTTGTACAGTCCTTCTTTACATGTCCAGGCTTCTTACAGAAGAAACAACCCTGATTATCCTTATGTTGTTTCTTCTCAACTGGACCCTTAGCAGCTTCCTTATCATTCTTCCTTTTCTTGCCCTTATCCTTAGAGGCATAGGCCAAATGAGCACTTTCTGTCTTATCTTGCTTCAACCTGTCTTCTTCTTGCACACAGTATGAAATGAGCTCATTTAGAGTCCATTTCTCCTTTTGACAGTTATAACTGACCTTAAATTGGTTAAACTGTGCAGGAAGAGACAACAAAACCAGATGCACTAATAACTCGTCACAAAGATCGAGTTTAAGTGCCTTAAGCTTTGAAGCAATATGAGACATTTCCATAATGTACTCCCTGATATTTCCTTTGCCCTTATACTTCATTGAAATCAAGCGAGCTAAAAGCGTGCTTGTTTCTACCTTATCGTTTTTCGCAAAACGCTTCTCAATTTCGGCAAGGAAATCTTTAGCCTTAGTAATCCCTTCGGATTCTATGCCCCTGAAGGCTTCCGGAACGCCGCGCTTAATGATCATAAGACTCATGCGATTTGAACGCTCCCACTTCTCATGCTCCTTCTTTGCATCAGGAGTGCTATCCGCATTGAGAGGTTGGGGTTGTTCAGTTCTTAATGCATAGTCAAGATCCATGCAGCCAAGAACAATTAATATGTTCTCTTTCCAAACCTTGAAGTTTGTCCCATTTAGCATGGGAATTGAGTTGATGTTAGCAGAAATTGTTGCAGCAGATGCATTAGCTGAAATAAAACAAAAGAATGCTCACATCAATAACCATAATCAATAAAATTCAAATAATGACAATCCCCATCCAAGATACCGGCACAACATTAATATCAAGTCTTTGGACAGTAATATTAACTTGTAAGTGATACCTTGTTGCAATGATCAAACATTGACAATAACTCATGTCAAATAATGAAACTATCTTTGGATCGATTCATTATTCACATGTAAACCTTATAATTGTCACACGCTTATCATCGCAGATGTGTATACAGTCTAAATAAATATTAACCTTCCTTTGGGCCGATTAAATATTTACACGAAAGCATACACACAAACATCTCACATTCCTCATGAACAATCTACACAAGAGAGGTTACTTTGGCAACTTCTTGTTTCAATTAATCAATTGGAGTGAGAGACAACCTTAATACCTTAGTGTCATAATATTTGAATTAAATAATTGATTAAAAACCGAATTAGATTTAAATTAAAAAATTTAAATCAACTGAATTTCCAAAAACTTAATTGGGGTCTCACAGCTTAATTAGGGCCCATAACTTAATTGAATAAATTAAGTATACCAAAGTGGACCCATGAAAAGCCGAGGCTTAACCATAATGAACACGAAGTTCCCTTAACTTCGAACGCGAGGTTCGACTGTATTGAGTACGAGACTCACTTAAGCACGAACGCGAGGTTCGTTTGAGAATGAACGAACGCGAGGTTCGTTTGATAAAAGAACGCGAGGTTCAACTTGGGAACGAACGCGAGATTCGTTAAAAAAATGAACGCGAGGTTCAACTGAAGTACGAACGCGAGGCTCGACTGAAGTACGAACGCGAGGTCCGTCTGAATTGAGCTTGACGCTCACCTGAGTTGAACGCGAGGTTCACCTTAGAACGAACGCGAGGTTCGTTAAAATTGAGCTTGACGCTCACCTGAGTTGAACGCGAGGTTCACCTTAGAACGAACGCGAGGTTCGTTAAAATTGAGCTTGACGCTCACCTGAGTTGAACGCGAGGTTCACCTTAGAACGAACGCAAGGTTCGTTAAAATTGAGCTTGACGCTCACCTGAGTTGAACGCGAGGTTCACCTTAGAACGAACGCGAGGTTAAAATTGAACGAACGCGAGGTTAAAATTGAACGAACGCGAGGTTCGTAGGCTTACTTGATAACGAACGCGAAGTTCGTTTGAACGCGAAGCTCGGTTAAAATTGAACGAACGCGAGGTTCGTTTGAGGTAACCACCTCCTTAATTTTCGCCATGAACCCTTAGGGTTTCAAATTGAAACCGCCGCCGTCAAACCCAAAAAATCTTTGATTTTTATTTTCAAAACAGATCCAGAATTGGAAAAAATTGAAGAAAAAATCAAAGAAAAATCCAAAAAATTCCCAAAAGTTACTGTTCATCCAAAAACTTTTCGTTACTGTTCATCCGAACCCAAAAAAATTTGCTGTTCATCCGAACCCAAAAAATTTTACTGTTCATCCGAACCCAAAAAATTGAATCTTTAACCAGAGATTTAAGATCAAAAACCCAATAAAACTTAAATTCCTAAGAATTAATCAAGGTGGCTCTGATACCACTTGTTAGATCTAAATCAATAAACTTGAGATCTAAAACCATATAGCCATGATTAATTCAAAGAGATTAACAAAAACAAAAAGAGCGGAAGCTTATACCTGAATCCATTGCTTGATCTTGATTTTGGGTTTTGGATCTTCTAACCTTAGGGTTTTCTCCTTAACCGAATTTCTCTCTTAGATGGGGGTGAAGAGAATTAGAGAATGTAACCCTAGGTTAGGGACCATAACCCCTTATTTATAGATGTTGTACTTTTGTAATTTAGCCCCTCAATAAATTACAATTACAACCTGGTATCTGCACATATAACCCCATGACTTATTTAAATATCAAATTAACCCAACTTAATTGATCACTTTAATGGGTTATCCTGAAAGATAGCAATACACATTGATTAATCATATGTGCCCACAAATAGATTTATTAGATTAAATCCAACATGAAACACTATAACAATTACCATTCAAACTAGTTTTGAGTTGAGATTAGTTTGACTAATTGAAGCACTATAACAGTTACCATGCAAATGAAAGGGTAATGGCGATGATGATGACGATAGGGGAGGAGGAGGTGGTGTTTTTAGTTACAACAGGGACCGATGCGCATGCATCAATTAAATAAGGGTGACTTCATGTAGTTCAGATAAATTTCTTTTTGGTTTATTTAGTTTGTCTCGATCTATTGTAGTGGTAATAAGAATAAACTACTTAGATGGTGCTGAGGGATTTTCCACGCCCAAGGCAATTTGGGGTATTAAATTTATTCAATGGATCTTTGTTATGCAATATTTTTTTCTCTCTATTAAAAAATATTTGTCTGATATGATTTTTATTACTTGGATTTGTATTCAGCTCTGCAAATCGTCTAACCAACAGTAAGGAAAATCAAAATTACCATGAGGAAAACCCATTGAAGGGCATTGGCACATAGTTACAGTATCAATAAAAGCATGACACAAGTGATAACACCTCTTTTGCGATTTTCATAGTGTAAGCTCAAAGCTTATAATACAGTTTAGATTATTTACGTGCAACACGTATTTAAAAAAAAGATTATTTATATGTATTCTCCCATAAATCCCTTATAAGATTGAGTCTCAGCATATGTATTCCTATCACACCCATCTTATTCTTTAGATCCTAAAACGATAAAGAGATTAAAGCTACAACATAACAGATAATTTAGGTTCTGTAGTCAGATATAGTTTTCAGTTTGATAGATTTCTATAAGTTCATATTTATATATAATTATTAATTGAAGAAAAGCTCCCAAATATACGGGTATATTCCCTTAAAAAAAGCTCCGTGCGGTAATAAAAGAAAAAATTTAGAGTGAAAAGTATAAAAGGAAAAATTTCCCACAATATGACACAAGTGTGACACTAGTTAAATCTAACACTAGCTCCGCCTTCGACATCCCTCTCCTAGCAGTTAAGGTTTAAGGTAACGACTTTGGCTACGACAAGTGTGACACTAGTTATATCTAACACTAGCTCCGCCTTCGACATCCCCCTCCTAGCAGTTAAGGTAACGACTTTGGCTACGGCGCGCTCCTATAGTGTGATAGGCAGTGTGTGTGCAAGGTCATTGCGGTTAAGTTAACGACTTCGGGCATGACTAGCTTTGATAGTGTGATAGGTGCCCGATTAGCTTTGATAGTGTGACGGGGATGGATGGTGTGCACAAGGCCCAAGAATAAATTCACCACCAATCTTGTGAGAATACCAATTGTATCTGTTTCTCTCGAGTCTAGTAATCCTAAGATTAGACTACCAACTAAACAGGCTCCAGAGTCCAATAATCCTAAAATTACCGATTGTATCAAAACAGGCGTCTGAAAAAGCGAGCGTACCCCCTAAACAGCTTACATTTAAACAGATTTAAATGTTATTAAGACGCAGAGCTAGGGCTACATAAATATTTGATATTACATTTGGGCGGGGGCCGCGCGTGCGCGTACCCCCTCAGCAACAAATTATGACGTCCACTCTCCCACTTGGGGAGATGGTAGCCCAGCACACCCACAGAGTGCAATGTGGGCCACTGGACTAGGCCTGGGCCTCCTTGATCACCCAAGGACCCCGTCCAGGTAAGTATGGTTCACTGTTGCACCCCCTCCCTCTTTTATCACTACCTCAACCTCTCGAACTTCATCGCGCGGCCGATGTGGGACTAAAACTCCCTCCCCAGCATCACCTCATCATTTGTTGGATTTTAAACCATTTGAATGTTTGATTTGTCTCCTCCATGGATTCTCCATCCAAACTCGAACCCCTTAACGCTCAAAAAGACGCACCAATGGGAACCACCGAAACCCTAAATCTCACACCCAAACCCTCCTCATCAAAGAGAAAACCTCGACCATCAAAGAAAATCCCCACCAATGATTCTCCCCCCAATCAATCTGCAGCTCCTCGACGGAAACGGAAGGCCAGGATCTCCACCGCCGCCTCCGCCGCCGGTGCATCGCCGGGGAATCGGAGAAGAACTCGGAGGCGATTGGAGAAGGTGATCGTTGCTAAACAAGAGAATGAGAACGAGAATGAGTTGGTTGCAGTTGGTAATGATATCCTGAAGAGCAAACAACAACTGGGTTTGGTTGCTTCGAGTATGTGGTATTAAAAAATCATTTTTTTTTGCATAATTTTTGTTTTTGATATATGAGGCTAATGAATAATATGGGTTTTATGAGGCAGAAATTGAAGAGGATAATGCATGGGAGAAGATTATGGAGCTTTTGCTGTGGAAGAATGTTGCGAAATCGACACTGTGGTTTGGTTCGGGGTCGATCTTTTTCTTGTCTTCTTGTTTCTCTAAGGATTCTAATTTCAGGTATTGTTGTATAAATTACAATTTTTTATATGTATTTTGACATAATCAATCTCAGTTGTCTTCACTTTGTATTCAAATTAACATTATTGAATAAAAATGATATTATTTTGCCTTTCATCATCTCTTTTGTGGAATTCTATTTTAGGACAATGAAAAGTGATGCAAATGCTGTAGGTGTAGTGTTAACTTAGCATGAAATCGAAATTCTCTTTATTACTATTTAGAATAATTTTAGAAAAATTTAATCGTGAGAGGTGTAGTGTTAACCTGACGACATACAAGACAAAAAAATTAAACATTTATTCCTAAAATACATTCTAAATCGACAAACCCCAGTCTAACTTGGCTGGAGTTTAGGGGAGAAAGAAGGGGGCTACATGACTTACGGGAAGTATCTCTTAAGGAACTTCCCGTTAATTGGCATCATGATCATGTCTTCTTTTTTATCAATAAGGCGATAAGCTCCATTCGAATAGACTGATTCTATTACGAAGGGTCCTTCTCGTTTGGGATTGAACTTCCCTTTGGTTTTGTGTGTCATTACCATGGGTCGTCTGTTGGCCAAAACTAAATCGCCTTTTTTGAAAATTCGTTCTTTAACTTTTGTTGTTGTAGGCTTTGAAAATACAGGCTTGATATAACTCGATTTGTTGCTGAGCTTGAAGTTGTTTGTCGTCTAAAGCTTCAAGTTCCTGAAGACGCCGCTGATGCTTCTCTTCCTCTGTCAGTCCGATCGTGATGGCGACTCTCAAGAAAGGGATCTGAATTTCTAATGGTAGTACGGCTTCGTAGCCATATACTAAAGAGAATGGTGTAGCTTTTGTAGGGGTCATCACCGTTGTGCGGTAGGCCCACAAACATTCACCGAGTCTTTCGTCCCAATCGCGTCAGCTTTTGGAAACAAACTTTTTGAGAAGCTTCACAATGGTCTTGTTAAAAGCTTCCGCAAGGCCATTTGCCGACGAATAATATATCGTAGATGTAACACTTTGGATCCTAAATTTGTCACAAAATCTTTAAAATCCAAAGCTGACAAATTGCGTCTCGTTCTTGTGGACTATTCGTCTTGGGACTCCAAAACGGTAAATAACATCATGTTTAATGAATTTAATCACATTCGAAGTCTTGAATTCTTTTTAACGGGACTACCTCTGCCCATTTGGAGAAGTAATCAGTTACAACTAAAATGAACCGGTGTCCTTTGGATGTCGGAGAAGAGATTGGTCCCACGATATCCATGACCCACATTTCGAACGGCCAAGATGCGGATGTGGGATGTAGGTTCCCTGGTGCTTGATGGATAAAATCACCATGAATCTAATATGCGTGATAACGTTTAGCGTAGTCGACTGCGTCTGAGAATATTTTTGGCCAATAATAGCCAATTGGCCGGAGACGATCTCCTAACTTAGCTCTGGGTTTATGAGCTCCACACATTCCGTCATGAGCCTCCTTGAGGGCCTCCTTTGCTTCTTTTCGAGAAAGACATCGAAGCAAAATTCCATCGTGTGATTTACGATACAATATTTGGGAAATAGTGTCGTAATAAAATCGGAGGGCTTTTCGTTTGAAAGCGGTCGCTTCCTTAGGATTATCGGGTAAAATTCCGTATAGGATATAATCGATGTACGGGAATCACCAATCCCTAGATTCAAGCTTCATTGTGGTTCACAGACTTCTCCTGCTATTGTTTTGTCTGAACTATCCTTTATAGGAATCTTGGAACAGTATAGCTGGTGTCCCATGACTGGAATCATTGTTTCAACCCCTGGTGGCAAAGCTAGTGAAGTTGCCAACGAGGTTAAAGCGTCTGCATAAGCATTCTGAGCTCGTGGAATATATTCAATAAAGAAGCCTTCGAACTTCTTAGCTTGCTTTAGCACTACGAAGTAGTACGGGATTAGATCCTCATGACGCACTTTGTATTCCCCTCGGACTTGATTTACGATGAGCTGAGTCACCATAAGCTTAGAGATGTCGAATATTAAGATCTTCAGCAAATTGCATTCCTAATAGCAGAGCATTATACTCGGCTATATTATTAGTGCAAGGCTCGATCAGGGAAAATCCTCTCGGGATCACGTGACCGTTCGGGGAAACGAGTACGACCCCCACTCCTGCCCTAATTGCTCTATGAGGATTTGCTCTGGATGCTTCGTCAAAGAATAACTTCCACACTTGCATAATTTCTTGAGTGACACAAGCTTCAACAACTTCATCGGGTAATTCTCCATACAACTTAGATGTCCTTGGCACCGGGTGATCGGCTAAGAAATCTGCCAAGGCTTGGCCGTTGACAACCTTCTGGGGCATAAACTGCATGTCATATTGTGACAGAAGAATTACCCATTTCGCCAATCGGCAATTCAGAGATGATGGTTTTATCATTAGGACTCTTAAAGGATTTACCTTAGAGATGACGTGAATTATTTGTCCAACTAGGTAATGTCGCATCTTTTGAACTGCGAATACCAAAGCGAGACATTCTTTTTCAACCGGATTATACTGGTGTTCTGCTCCCATCATGGTCCTACTTAAGTAGTATATAGCTTGCTCCTATCCTTGGTCATTATTTTGGGCTAATAAAGCTCCAAGAGAATGATCCATAGCTCTCACGTATAGCAGGAATGAAATATCTTTTAATCTCCTCAAATGCTTTCTGACAATCTCCATCCCAAATGAAGGATACTCCCTTCTTTATAAGCTTAGAGAAAGGTTGGCAACGTCCTGAGAGATTGGAGATAAACTTTCGAATGTAGGCCAATCTACCTTGCAAGCCTCTTAGTTCTTTAAGATTCTTCGAAGGTAGCATCTCTTGGATAGCACGCACTTTCTCTGGATCAAGAGAGATTCTCTTAGATGTGACAATAAATCCCAGGAATTTTTCACTTGATACCCCAAGGAAAGATTTTGTTAGGTTCATCTTCAGTTGAACGAGTATCGAACATTGTCTTCAGGTCTGTAAGATGATCACCTTTACATTAGCTCTTTACTGCTATATCATCAACATAGCACTCGGTCTTCTTACGTAGGTGTTCGTGAAAGATGGCGTTCATTGCACGTTGATAAGTTGCTCCTGTGTTTTTCAGATCGAAGGGCATCACTGTGTAGCAATACACCCCAGCGGTATTCTAAAAGCAGTATGTTTTTCACTTTCGGGTGCATCTTGATCTGATTGTACCCGAAGAATCCGTCCATGAAAGACATCCTTTCATATAAGGTGCATCTTGATCTGATTATACCCGAAGAATCCGTCCATGAAAGACATCCTTTCATATCCGCAGGTGTTGTCAATTATAACATCCGTGATAGGAAGCGGGAATTCGTCTTTCGGACAAGCCGCGTTAAGGTCACGGAAATCGATGCATATCCGAACCTTACCGTTCTTCTTAGGAACCGGGATAATGTTGGCTACCCAGTCTGGGTGTTGTTCTTCTCTAACAAAACCCGAGTCTATAAACATTTTAACCTCAGACTCAATTGCTTCCATGATCTCCGGACGAAACCGGCGTTATTGTTTAACGGGTTTTACATCCGGATCAATGTTGAGACGATGCGTGACCACTTTCGGGTCAAGAGCAGGCATGTCTTCGTAGTTCCAAGCAAAGATATCTATATATTCTCTAATGAGAGATATAAGGTCCTCTTTCTCGGAAGATGATAAGTTTTCAGCTATAAAGATAGGCTTAGGGTCAGATTCATCTCCCATGTTGACCTGGATCACTTTATCTTCAGTGGGTGGTTCGCGTTGTTCGAAGCACATATCCCACAAGATGTAGAGGCGTTTGATCCAAGGATCATTGGTCGATTCGATTAACTCTTCGTCACCCCCTGCATCTTTATCTGGATGACTAGTTAAAACCATGTTCACAGTCAGACTTTTAAAGAAAGATCCGACACTGACATCGGACTCCCATGAGGATGTTCCAGATGAATAGTTTTGATGCAGATAGTTACTAGTTTTATTTCCTGAAGGAGGAGGGGTTGTGACATAGCCCACTCCTCTCCCGGTTTTTTGATAATAATCCGGGGGTTTTCCTTCGGGGGTGAGAGACATCCGAATTGGTGTTCGTTTTCCTTTCCCAAAGTTTAAACCCTGTTTCTCGTTAAAACTATATCCCATTCGTTTCATTAATTGGATGGAATTAGGTTTGTGATAATGGAACTAGGGAACTCCATCATCCTCTTTTGAACTTCCTCGTTTGAGAGGTTCGGGTTTAATTTTACTGAAATGGATCGGGTTCTGCCCTTTCCTTTTGGACGGGACTTTGAAGAAAACCTTTTGCGCATCTTCTACTTCTTCATCTGAAGCGAATGATGACTTGATTGGCAATGTGAGTGACGCCTCTGTGCATAGTGTGTGCCATAGGTTGATACCTGCATTAAGATCATTTTCTATTTGTTTATTTTTAGAGGACACATCTGATAAGTACACCAAAATAAAATCTTCATTAATGCACTACTCGCCCTCACTCAGTACATTATTATTACTCTCATCCTGACCCATTACATCGAAGTTTAACTCCCATGGACAATCTTCTTCAGGATCTGGTTCGATGTCAGCTTCATTATCACTGTCAACATCTTCCTTCTCCTGGGATTCCAGGTAAAAGACGGAGTCGGTGTGAAAGTTTTCCACCCCTCGGAAAGGATACTTTTCTACAATCAGGTTTCGAACTTCTCCTTCATCATTAGCATACTTCATAACATATGTAGGGTAGATGGGACGATGCGGTTGGCATGAATCTATGGTCATCCTAGCAAAAAATTATAGGATGTGTCCGCATCTATGATGTAACAAGTCACTTCAGACTTGAGATCTCTAATTTGGCATCTGAGTTTGATCTTTCCCGGGGGCTTAGTGCTGTTAGCGTTGAACCCGAAGATGGTAGTCTAAGTGGTGTTCAGCCGATGCATAAGAATCCCTAAGACCTACATGACCCTGTAAGGCATGATGCTAAGCGCTGAGCCCGGGTCAACTTGGACACGACTGATTTCGG